TTGTTAATATTAAAAAGCATTAAAAGCATTTAAAAAAAGGTGAATCCTGCAAGAGCAAAGGCAAACCTCCTCTGAAGAATATTAATACTGTGAAGCATCAAGCTTCCTAATACATAAAATAATGCTTCACAGTATTAATATAATAAGCAGGATTTACCTTTTTCATTAAAACATTAATGCAAAAAACCCCACAAACTGGTTTAAACCAAAATAACTGGTGTTTGCGTTTCCAACCCTGCTTAAATTCTGTATCTGTCGGCAGAAATGGTCTTCCTTTCGCATCCTTCTACAAAACCAAAAGGGCCACTAGAGCTGCATCCACACTGCAGAAATAATCCAGTTTGACACTGCTTTAACTGCCATGGCTCAATGCTATAGAATTCTGGGATTCGTAGTTTGTTGTGGCACCAGAGCTTTCCGACAGAGAAGGCAAAATGTCTCAAAAAACTCCAATCCCCAGAATTTCATAGAATTGAGCCATGGTAGCCAAAATGATGTCAAACTGGATTATTTCTGCAGTGTGGATGCAGCCACGGAGGCATTTTCTTATTTAAGGACAAGGTGGTAATTTTCTTATTTTAATTTATTTTAAATTTATTTGTTACCTGTTGTGTATTGTTGTTTTAAACTTAAAGTGTGTTTTAAACTATGACTGTTTAATTGTATTTTGGGGGGGGGGGGTTGTTGGAAGACAGGAATGTATGTTTTAGCATGCAAGTCGCCCCGGTTGTGTTACACAGAGAGGCGGGATACAAATTATTATTATTATTATTATTATTATTATTATTATTATTATTATTATTATTATTATTATTATTATTATTATTATTATTATTATTATTATTATATTTAAGAACAAGGTAGTAAGCTCCTCCAACTCCTTGTATATTATATGAAGTTTACAGAACTCTGCCCTCCATCCAGGGCTGTGCCAAAGCATTGACTTCAACTCCTCTATTTCTTTCTACAATCCAACGCTAACCTCTTTATATGAAGGAAATGTATATTAATTAATAATAACAAATTTACTGTAAATAGGTTAACTGTCTGTTTCCACACACAGCCCAAAGTACTGACTTTGACCTATAAAGGCCTATATGGCTCAAGCTATTTGCAGGATGGTGGAGCCAGGATGGCGTAGTTGTTTGAGCATTGAACTACGACTCTGGAGGCCAGGGTTCGAATCCTAGCTCGGGCATGAAATCTGCTGGTGGAACTTTGGGTAAGTCACACTCTCTCAGCCTCAGCAGATGGCAAAGGCAAACCTCCTCTGAAGAAATCTTGCCAAGAAAACCCCATGATAGGTTCACGTTAGGGTTGCCATAAGTGGGAATCGACTTGAAGGCACACAATGACAATTTGAAGGACAGGATCTTTCCATATGAGCCTGTCCAAGCTTTAAGATCTGCACTTCTCTCTTTCCCTCCACCTTCAGAGACGTGGCTGGTGGTAATACGGGAGAAGACTATCTCTGTGGCCACGGTGGTACATGCCTTGGTTACATCTCACCTGGATTACTGTATGTAATGCGCTCTATGTGAGACTGCCTTGAATTGACATTCTCACATACCAATGGCATATATATATATATATATA